CAGGTTAGAGTTACTTTTTTGATCAGTTAGTATTATTATTTATATATAAATATCAAGAATACAATTTATGCGATATGTAGGTTAACCTGGTTTTAATGGACTTCCCAAAAAAGATATACAATTTTATCATACGATTACTACATCTAATCATAATCAAGATTTTGTGTACGAACGCAAAACTCGAATTGAACCACCCACTTCGTTCCACTACGTTCCTGGTATAATATTCCATATAGGTATCGTATGCTCGTTAAGCGAAACTTGACATTTTGCGTTAGTTCTTAATAAATCTAGATGTACATTACATTACATTATATATTTAACAAGAGTACTCCTAGTATATTACCAAAACCTCTTGCAATAATGGTAATAAAGTGTACTGTGAGGGTTTAAATGCGTGCATTATTAAGCAATTGATTATATGTGTGCGTAGAATACTATGTAACTAGTTGTCTTATATAATGTAATCAAATATTTCCGCACTTGTACTGCAGGAGATCCTTTGTCATTGTCTACGAGGTATGTAAATCCAACAAAATCAGAATTTTTTTTTTTTTTTTTTAACCGCCATAGGGCGTACTTTATTAAATCAGAATATTTATGTCATACATCACATGTTAATTCCCTAATTTTCTCGTATTAGCGATGCAGACCAAATTATGGGATGTCCCAAACTATATGATGACCAGTTTCACACAGTTTGGTTTGCGTCGTTGTAATATAGAGCCTTCTTACCGAATTTTAGGTTTCTTATTTATTTGATTGGTTATGTTTGAGACAGAAAACCGTGCTTTTGAGCACATTACGAGCACACTATGCTAAAAGCGAATCTGTTGCAAAATTTATGTGCAACTTTTATTACCTTATCGTAATATTCATGCATGTATATATGCGACCGGTACCATATAGTTCAAATGATTTTGTTTAATTTTTCGTGTATTGTCAAACATAGTTGAAGAAAATACGGAGCCAAATCATCTTTCGACAATTTTTTAATATTATTCAGTCCATCAAATGGAATCCAATCCTATAAATTTTATTACTCTTTGAGTCAGTGGCTCCGTACTAAGTACCAAATCGATATCGGGTCATGGAAAGGCACGTGGCATTAGGGTGATCATCAAACTAATAAAATCAAATCATAGTCAGGGTCACATATAAATTTATTATGTAGGGATTTTTTACCGGGTTGTTAATAATTTCGGAAATTTCGGAAATTTAACTTTTACAAATTATTTTCTTTATTTAGTAAACAACTATTTTCTTATTTAGCGAACAAACTATAAAACAAATTGTCGGCTTCTATTTCACCAAACGTTATCTGTTGTTTATCATCAGGTTTGTCCAATTTTCTTTTTTTATTCTTTCTTTGAATTGCTAATTCCTCATCTGATATAGAAATTTTTTTGACTCCAGAAAGGCGAAGTTTTGCTTCTTTGGTTTTGAGGGTCATGTTTGTATGACATTTGAGATCATACTTATTAAACAATCCCTCAACCTGTTGTTGATGAGTAATGATGTAATAAATTCGGCATTTGACGAATTCATATATTAACAGAAAAGAATGAATTGGTAATTCATCAGAATTAGCAAAACTTGTTAATTCATGTAAAAATAATAGATCTTCAATTGCCTGTAACAAATTAAAATCGTTAGAATTGGATTGTTCAATGTCAAATTCTAAAAGAGTTGTAAAACATAACTCTTTAAGACTAGGAATTTGACTTCGTTGTTTTTTTAACCTCACGTACAAATGCTTTTTCAATACCAAGTTCTAAATTATTAAAAAACATTCAAAATCTTTATCGTCTAAAGTATCAATAGCATTTCACAACTCCGTATCAAAGAATGAATAGATATTATTACTAATTCTATATAAAGTTCCTATTCATTTAATAATTGCATCAGGCATTTCATGGGCCTGATGATCAGGTAAAAGTGGTAATAGTTGACTATCTGATTTAAGAACTCGTAGTTCATTATCAAATCCAGTAAGAAAATTTATAATAGGTTCATAAATTTGTTCTCCAAACTTAATGAGACACTCTATTTGTATTTTTAAAACTGGATCCATGAGCTATTGTCAAAGGAGTTCCCACTTTTCAAGGTATTTTTTGGTATTTTCTTTTGTAATTTTAATTTATTTAAAAACCAGAAAGTAAAATTTTCTAAATATTCTCTTCTTTCTACTAGTTGTCTTGCTACTTGTAATTTGTATAATCACCATTGCTATAAAGGTTTTTGAAATTAAGATAATCAAATTTCAAATAGCTTAGTATATAAATCAAATATATAGGACGACTTCATATTTATTGGATTGTCCTTATTACTTTTGCTATAACCATTATGCAATTGCCAAATAAGGTAAGTAAATTAAAAGGATGTTTTTGAGTTAAAAATCCTTTTTTAACTTTGAGCTTTTCAAATGTAGCATTTTCAAAATTTATCATTATTATATATGCTGAATGAAGACCACAAGAAATTCTAAATGAATTTGAATTAATTTCCTTATTAAATAAAGCCACTGTGCCATTTTTATAACCTAATATAAATGCTGTATTGTCTGTTGTCCAGATTAAACATTTAGTTGGGTCTAGTTGATATTGCTCAAATGATTTAATAACAGTATGCACAATTAATAATCTAGTGCATTGAGTTAAATTGTGAAGTTCCAATAAAGTAACTTTTGGCTCATTACTAACTAGATCCCAATACATAAAATATATGACAAAAATTTTACTATCACCATGTGTTGACTTATCCATCATGATTTCAAAAGTAAACTATTTAGAATGTTTAACAATATTATATTGTTGTATAATATGAATATTCGACATATCTAATAAGTGTGCTAATAAAAACTCATTTATTTGGTTCTTCACTATTAACTATTTGATTACTATTTTTGTACAAGTTACAGGTAATCAATAATATATTCCTCCAATTTCGCAAATTTGTGTGGCTATAGAGACTGTTTTAGACTAAATTGTTTTTTATTTAATATAAGCTGATCTTGAATTGCTAATTTTAATTTCTTGTCAGTTATAATAGGTGTTTTACGAACTATAGAACAAACCTTAGAGATATGTTGTTTGTGTATTTGTTTAGACTTTCTAATTTTATCATGTAAATTTTATTTTTTTGTT